AAAAAAAAAGAACAAGTAAGCAATAGCTTCACTGCGCCAAATCTATGACTTCCATCTGGCTTAATTTTTAACATGACTCAGTGTGTCACAGTTTTAAACCACTCTTATAATGTCACAGCACTGTTTCCGAAAATCAGTCTCAAAGTAGAAAATGAGGCTGGCATTGCGCATTCTGTTGGGGAAAAAAGGGGGAAGGAAGAAAGAAAAAACATCAGTGTTTGCTACAGATAGAACTCAGGATCTGCACTGTCTTTTAGCAGTCAGCAAAGGGTTTAAAACTCAAGGAATGAGGGATTCTTGGCAGAGCACTAATGGAATTTTTCATTCCCACACACATTATTTTCAGGGTTCTCATTCAGCATTGAAAGAACATTGGTTTTTCCTGTTTGGACAGCCCCAAAAAGCTTTCTCAAAAGTTATTTTCCAAATATTTCTGAGTAAGAAAAACAATCATCCACTTAATGTCTAATTTATGGACCTTTAAAGATATTTTTTTCCCCTTGATGAAAAGGTGACTTTTGATGACATCTTTCTGGAATTTCCCACATGCCCATACTGTCTTTTTTTAATTTTTAATTTTACTTCAGATTTTATTTTAAATTTTACTTTATTTTAAATTTAAATTTATTTTAAATTTTACTAGATACTCATGGATATCCATGAAGCAGTTTTACATATATTTATTTTTCTTTCTTTTTTTTTATTGAGATATCACTGACCTATACCATTATGAGTTTTAGGTGTACAACATAATGATTCCGTATATGTGTATCTTGCAAAACCATCATGTATTTCTGATATTAAGAAACCACTTCATCTAGGAGGTTATGTAGTCACTAGTTGCCAATCAACAGATGAGGAAGGTAAATAGGTAATCAATTACAGAACGGGGCTGTATCCCAGGTCTTCTCAGCCCCCATCAAATTCTCTTCCTTGAATGCCACGTGAATTTCCCTGTCTCTCTGCTGATTTTTAGACAGACGCAGAGAGAATTCATCCCCACCCCTCAGGTGTGGAGGGAGAAGGAATCACCTCCTCCACTTGGCATTCAGGTGGTTCCCTTGCCTCTTGTGTCTCCCAGAAAAGTTACCCCATTCTTATCTCTGACACCAACAACACTTGCATCTGTAGCTCTTGGATGTCTCTTAAAGACAAGCACCAAGAAGATAATATAGGGGAAAATCCTGGAGGATTTATATAGGTGATAGATAGATAGATAGATAAGTTAGATGTACAGATGGATAAATTCATGGATGGATGGATGGAT